GCAGAAATGGCGGGAGGGGGAAGGCCCCCTGTTCCCCACCCAGCACGGGTGGGGGCCGCTGGGAATAACGCCCCGGGAGGAACGGGGAGGCACCGGAGATGGGCGCTGTCCTGGGGCTGGGGGGGGGATTAACGCTGGGGTGACGTGCTCCACTGTGTCCTGGGAGGTGGGGATCAGTGTGGAGGAGAAGGGAGGGAGTGCGATGGGGAAAATGAGGAGGAGGAGGGAAAAGGGATGACCCAGAAGATAGAAGGAAACAGTACTGGGGAGAAAGATACCTCTTAGTCATGCTTGCTCGCTGGGTTAAGTAGATTTCATTGTTGCCTTGCCCAGATTTGTCTTCCTACGTGAATAAACTGCTTTCCAAGTGCCAACATCATACAGGAACCCAACAGGAACGGATCCAATTCTTCTCTTAATTCCAAAGTGAATTCCTGCCATTAGATTTACCACTACGTCTCGTCTTCTTCGCAAGTCTCACCGAGGCCTTGACCCTGCAAATATTAATACATGGTTAGAATCTAACGCATACGTGTCTGCTTCAGAACCTACGGACAGATCTGCCGTGGAAGCGCCTGCTGGAACAGCCGTGGTGGCAACCATGCTCAGTGGATGGAGAATGGTAACAAGGGAAAATGTGGATTTTGCCAGCAAGGCATGTGAAAAAATAAAACAGCTTTATACTGCCCTGTTTACACTATAGGGTTTGGGGGGTTTTGCCACAGAAATGCCACCAAAAATTTCACCCATAACTAAACGGGCGACATTCCTAGTTTATGCTTGTTTTTTCACCGTAAGGGCTTGAAGACAAGGGCTCCAAGACTTTTAATGGTATGCGGTATGGTAATTAACACTTTGTTGGCCATTAACAAGGAAAAAAAAAAGTTTCATTTCTCTGTTCTGTCTATTGGAGGGTAATGAGATTGTAAAGCATTTTTTGCGGCATATTGTGGCTTCCGGGGACACGACGACGGCTACCCAAGCGAATTCCCAAGTCTTCCAGCCATCTCCAGAGTGTGTTCATTTCCCCATGTGGAGCAGGAGGGCCGGGGCTGTAGACCCTGCCTTCTCCAGCTGATTTCTAGAGTACCGGTCTCGGAACGGCTTCCTTCTTTTCCTCCTCCAGCTCTACGAAACGCGCTAAAATACAGCTGAACTCTCTGGGCTTGGCAGCGAGGACGGGCTCGGGCTGCCAGCTCACCTCTCCCCGGCCAGGACGCAGGCAGGAACAAGAGCAGGGAGAGCCACTTAAGTAGGGAAAATAACCCACGGGCCTGAGACCCTGGTGGTTTTACAAGGGCAGCTCTATTCGACTGCGAACAAACTGCCGGTCTCTCCCGTGGCTGCTCGTGCTGACATGCAGATGCTGAATACAGGTATGACCTCTTGCCTGTTCAAACAGATACAAAAAACGGTGTTTGCCTACGTGTGCACATATGAAAATTCAGTAATTTGAGGTTTCACATCCTTTGCTGTTGTTAAAATCCACACCGGGACGTAAGTCATGAGAAATATTATCATGATATTGTCCTCTCACCAATGTTTCAGCTTTCCTAAACAGGAAGAAGCCGATCATTTAGTGTCCTTCCTCCAACGGTTTTAGCATTTCCAGGGCAATCGTTGATTGAAATTCATGCTGTCCGTATTCGGTCCAATGTGTACTTGAAAACATGCATCTTGAATGATCTTACGATTATTTAGTTTCCAATACAGCAAAAATACATGCGGAAAAGGACTGCCTGTTTCACAATTCTATAGTAAAATGCCTAAGGATTTTTACCATTTTGTACTAAACTAGCACGGTGATCTCACCAGGTTACAAAAACGTGAATTTACTTTTAAATCCTAATGCCTGTGAATAAGAAACAGCTTTGCTGTTTACATGGTGCTTTCTATCAGCCTGGTTTCCCCACGGGTCATTTCAGAAGTCACAGGGAATGAACAGAAAGAAGGAGCAAGGTACAACAGTGCCAGCTCCGCTTAAATTAACAGTAACTCAAGCGCTGGGATGGAGCCGCTATTCTGGCCAGTGACCTCAGTTCTCCCTGCCTTGGAGAGAGATTAACCAGCAGAGTCTGCCTGCCATTGCGCTGTGTCAAAAAGTCTTGTGGAATAGCAGCCCAGCCGCAAGCTCTCTCAGATAGCAAAGCTGTCGTCGTGCCAATTTGTATGTCATTTAGCATATTGTTGACGCTAACAATAATGGATACGGACAATTTAGAAACAATCCAAATTGTGTGAGCACGCAATGTGTAAAACTCATTCTCGCAGGTGGCCAAACGGGCACTCGAAGGGCACAAGAAGAATTCACCCCCCTGCTCCCGAGGAGGACAGCCTGGCACTGTGATTTCATTAACCTGCGCTGCTGCAGACCTGTACCTAAAGCCACGGCTTCAGAGCAACACCACGTCCAGTCCCGCGGCGGTTAGCCCTGCTTTCGTCGGGCTTGCGCCCCAGGTATTAGCATGTGTAATTGCATCTTCGTCCTGTATGCAACCTTTCAGTCTTTGGACTACAAGGCTGGTGAACGCTGCCTCGCTTTTTTTCTACGCATTGAGCATGTATTTCACAACCAAAACTATGTCGTTAACATACACCTCTGAACTTGAAAAGCTGCCACTCTTTAACTCAAATAACTTGATTTACACATCAAGCACTTAGGACGTATTAAATCATGTTTTGTTGTGTGACTTGCTGTACTACTAGCTAGGGAGGCTTCATTCGTTTCTTTGAAGCGCTGAACCCTGTTCTGAGGAAGTTTCGATGCTGAATTTGAAGTTCAGTGAAAAAGCATAAAAACCCAGATTTTTTGTCAGAAATCCAAAGATCACTGCAGCGAAGACTTGGGCAGAGTACAGATACTTGTGTCTTCAGACCCTCAGTGCAACGAGCATTTCGGGCTTCAGATCCCGCGCGCAGCTCCCCAGTTCTGGAACCGGAGGAATGAGCCTGGGCCTTACGAAGATCCCCACCTAGAGCGGGATTAGGCACACACTTTGCTAGGAGGCTGCACGACCAGAAATAGGACGTCGACGATCAAGAATGCTGGGCTCTATTCTTGGCTTAGACATGAAGTGTGATCTAGTGCCTAGAACAGACGTTATACCAGGATCGCCAAGCTACAGTTTTGACATTAATTCTGAGAAACACTGAAGGGAGGAGGGGAAGAGTCTTAGTTCGTTCTACTGGAGTCATACGCTCTTTTCCTAAATATAATTTGTGTGTTAGGTTTCCCGAACACCAAGAATTATATTTGGCTGCCTTTTGGGGCAAGTTATAAGGCCTTGTTCAAATAACAAAGCTCTGAAGCGTGCAGAATATAAACAGCAATCAGAAGAGCGAGGCTGCGAGCTAACATTTCTTGGCTTACAGCATATTGCACGTTCCTCTAGACTGCAGGGTATTTATGTTTCTCCTCTTGTCTGGGGAATATTATCCTGACTGGCAATGCAAGAGAAAAGGCAGAGAAACTGAAGCTGAATGCAAAATATCCTGCAAAATCTGGTAGGCCGGTTGCTCTTGAGAGCTCTGATGCAAAAGATAATTATAGATGAAAGTGTAGCAACCGCTGTGGTTAAGGTTGCGAAATGTTCTATTTACTCGGGTTGCTTAGGAGCCGTGCAAAAACGACATGCTGGCCCTGCGCAGCACAGTATCTCCAGCAAGGCCGGAGCTTTGGAGAGGATCAGATCTGCAGTGTTCTCGAGTTCTGCAGTACCTTTATTGCCCAAATATGGTCCAGGAGCATATAGGCGCTTAAAAGGCTAGAAATTGTGGGCCTGTGATTAGCTGTTTTCGTAGAGACCGAAAGCTCAGAAGGCCCAGCCCTCCACGCTGAGCCGATTAAATTCTTCTCCTGGAGAAAATACCACTTTGCAGCTTTCTCTGCAGAAGTCCGGAGGAGCACAGGACCAGCACCCTCCCCGCCCCTCGCAAACGGGCTGCAGAGCCGGATACCCATCAGGGCTTACAGTCCTCCCTGTTTTTGTTTCAAGACAAGCTGAGGAAATTAATTATAAAAGCTCTTGTGTTTAGACAACGTTAAACCAAAAATATTCTGGGGCATGTCCTCAGCCGCAAACGGGCTGCAGAGCCGGATACCCATCAGGGCTTACAGTCCTCCCTGTTTTTGTTTCAAGACAAGCCGAGGAAATTAATTATAAAAGCTCTTGTGTTTAGACGTTAAACCAAAAATATTCTGGGGCACGTCCTCAGCTTGCGTAAATTGTCAGGAGATATCAAAGTAAAGATCAAATGCCAGGCCTTCCCTCAGATACCCTGTCTGTGTCATGACACAGCTGCCACACACGGTCAGAAATTGTTTTCCAAACAGTAGCATAATGCAACGCAGTAATACCATGGTTAGGCTAACGACGCGGTAGGACCATCACCTATGGCACTAACCAGCATCAGCCCCTTGTCTTTTTTTTTCCTTTGCACTTTGATTACCTGCACGTGCTGTTTCTTCATGCTTAAGCCATATAATCTCCTTGTCTGGATTGTACTGCACCTTGCTAAATGCAGCTGTGGCCCATTATTAGGGTGCAGAGGTGCTACACTAACACAAATAATGAATTGTAATATTAACTGTTAAGTTATATTGATTATTATTTATTATAGGCTCTCGGCATACTGTATCTAAAGAATTTTTGTTATGATATGCTACATTACTTGTTTGATATTAATGTTATGTCCAGTCATAAAGCTGTCACAATACAGACACATAAAGAGAACAAGCTCTTTAGTCTTCCTATTGTTGAGGACTTTCTTCAGCAGCCAATTTCACCACCATGATCATATGAAATGTTGGTGAGGTCTCCACAGAGGTCCAGCATAAGAGACACATCTACTTTGGTCCTACTTACGGTCTCAGAAAATCCTAATACATTTTTCTTTCTTACTAAATATGTAGGACAAGTTAACAGAAAACAAGTGGGAAAAAACCCACCAAGCTTATAGCTGCTTCTTGCCAGAAAAGGGGCATGATGAAAATAGAAGAAAAATAACCTGAATAAAAAATACCTGACATTTTTTGCCTGACATCCTTTGTCCCATAATACAAATCACCTTTAACCTTATTGCCAAGGGGTCTCACATAGCTGCAGCCACACATACATTACCGGCTTGCCAAGCAGAAGAAAATTAACTGTGGATAAAAAGGGTAGTGGAAGTTCTTCCAACATCTGAGAAGTATCAAAACAATAGCTGAAAGACTTAAATTAATATTGAAACACACACCTTTACTCTGAATGGGAGTCTGTCATAGGCATAAAGTCAGCACAGATGCAAGATCTCTAGCTCTCTCTTCTCAGAGGCAATTTCCAAGAGTCATATTGCAGGATAGGCGAGTATTGGAATCCTAAAATGAGTTTTAAATTTATCAGTATGTTGGACATACAGCCGAAGGAAAGGACACAAATTCATCTGTAGCAGTGAAAGGATCACTCTCTCTGTATCTAATAGTTGAAGTTAGTAAGGCAGATTCTCCTCTAAAATAATGTAAATCTGAAACAATTCTATTGGTTTTGACAGAATTACCCCCAGTTTGTACCTTTGGGTCATGATGCAGTTTATCAAGGAAGCACACGGAAACATGCACACGTCTTCCCACAAAATTAGACAACAAAACTTTGTTTTAGCCCAACGAAGAGGCTTTACGGCCAAGCTCACATGGCTAACGTTAGGATTGAGGTTACTGCTCGCAGGAGTGAAAACCAGCTTCTCCATCATGTAACTCGGCAGGTAAACTTCTCTAGGAGGCATGGGGCGCAGGTGGGACGCTCCGAGAGTAAGTCAGCGTAAGCCTGCCTAAGCCGGTGCCGCTGCAGACTCTTTCTCCCTCTTAGGCTTTCCCTTTACAGTGGCCCTAGTGCTTATCTGCTCCGTGATTGAAACTGGCTGAACAGCAGCCTAGCAATAAATAAGGAAAAAAAAAAAAAAGTGAATGGGTTTTAGCCAGCACCTCGGGAAATCTGCCACGAAACTGTTATTTATCACTGGTATTTCAGCAGTTCCCAAGTGTCGCTGTCCTCCCACCCCAAGCGCTGAATAAATGTGAGAAGGAAGTCGCTCGTGCCACAGAGTTCACATGCCTTAAATGCAACAAAAACGAGCAGGTTGAGGTCCCAATTTACCCTTTGCCGTTTACTGTGGATAACGTCCACCCTGTGCCAAGCACGGCTCTGCTGGACACCCCTCCGGCCTCCCCGCGCCGATGCGGGGGTCAGCGCGCCCAGGCCGCCCTCCCTGCCACCGGCACCATTCCCAGCCCGCCTGAGTCCAC